TGAGCCACGCTGGGCTCACTCTTCTCTGCCTGCTGACTCAGTGTCTGCCCACGCACTCAGCAAGCATGGAGGTGCCAAGCCCCTACTGTGTGCTGACCCTGAGCAAGTCACTGGGAATTGAAGGGTGAGAAAGGAAGGCTAGGGTGAGGTAGGTGAGGCCTGTGGCAGAGACTGGGGCAATCCGGGAAGCAGATTTGCAGGGGCCAATTTACAGGGCTGAGAAATCCTAGGGGGGTTTTTGGGGAGACTCTAGAAACAGTCTGCGGTGACTGGGGTCCAAGATGGGAGACGTGGTGACACGGCACGAGGCCAAGGTTGGCAAGAAGCAAGAGAACAGGAAAAGCCTCGTCCCCCAGGACTGCGGGCCTGACTTTACCTTGTAGGGGATGGGGGACCTCCGAAGGGTTTAAAGCATGGCTGTGAAATTGTCAGGTTTGGCTTTGAAATAGTTCCCCTGGCCTTTCTCATATGTCCCCTCATTTCTACATCTTTTGACTCTAAAGCGACATGTGATTTTTTTTTTTAAAGATTTTATTTATTTATTTATTTGACAGAGAGAGACACAGCGACATGTGATTATTGTGGTGAACTCTGAAAAGAGGAAATGTTTGTGGGCTGACATTTACACATTTCCCGTGGGCCTGAGGCAGGTCGGTCTGCGGGTGACAATTACGGCTCTTTCTCTACCGGCGTCCTTGCTCGTGCTTGGTCTTTTCACGGGTAAGTCTATCCCTGCTGCTACCTCCCAGGCACCTCTACCTGCCTGCACATTTCTGGGAGCCAGGCCTGTGCATGTGTGTGCGTGTGTGCGTTGCATGTGCTACCATCTCAGACCATGCAGGGCCATACTGTGTCCTTGTCACGCTCACATTTCTTCTGCTAATGAGTCACAGGGAGCCCTGGGCATCCCCACACAGGCTGATGGTGGAGGCATGAGATCGAGGACCTGCCCCATCTGCATCTTGCCATTTCAATCATGATCCTCTAAGGTCTCTTTGCCGCTCCTCCCTCTCCCGCCAGCCCCCAGGAGTGATCTTTCATCCTGAATTGGGCTTTCTGTGTCCCATAAATGACCTCAGTAGGCGATGGCACTTAGCAGCTGTTTCTGTCCCTCTAGATTCTTACTGCTTGCTCCTGTCCCCGACGACCTGAGCGGTGGCAAGAGACAGGCTTGGGAACCGGAGTCAGGGGAACGAAGGGTTTGAGAAATCTGCGTGAGGGGCCGGGCTCTGATCTTGCTCTCCAGAGTTTCAAGCTTTCGCTTTCATTCTCCTTCAGGGGAAAGCCGGCGTGTGTGATTACGAAGATCACCTGCCTCAGAACTGTCCTCTTGGGGGTCCCCTAAGCCTGCTGATGAATCCCTTGGTACATTTAAAACTTGGCAGTGAAGGGAAGGAAAAATTCTTCTCCACCCTCAAGGTCTCCTACCTGAACTAAGAACTAAATTTATATGACACAGATGAACAGGAGAAAAAAACCCCAAAGTTTTACAGCGTGTGCATGGAAGCCCAATAATGAAATTGAGACCTAAAAAAATGACCTAGGAAGCAGTTTTTGTACTTTTTAAACAAAGAGACAATAAACCTGTGAGGAATTGACAGGACAAAGAAAACTTAATTTTGGGGGCTTCAATTAGTAGGGAGTTCTAAACAGACTTTGGGCTGGGGGAGTGAATTAGTTAAAAAAAAAGGTAACAAGGGTTGTTTGTAAGTGTTCTCGGCTCTAAATTTCCCACCTCTGGTGAACAGGATACTCTTTACCTCCTGGTCCAGCCAGGCTGCCTTTCACACGGGAGATTTGTTTCCTGCTTTCAGGGGACAGAGGAGGGTCTGAGTGTCCTTGTGCTCACTGGCTCTTAAGTAACTTATTTAAATAACCAATATGCCCAAGTGGCCCATCTTGGGGTGGCCTGCCCTTGGCCCCTATCACAGTTTATAAAGAACCTTTACTTAAGTTAAAAAAAAAAAACAAAAAACCTCTGATCCCTGCATCAGACTTGTGATATAGATAAGGCAGACAGGATTACACACATTTTATGGATGATGGACGGAGGCTCAGGGAGATTAGGGACATCTTCTGGTGCATGGCTGGTAATCCGCCTGGCCAGCTGTGGGAACGCAGCGGCACCATGGAAACTCAGAGAACAGTGTCCTCGGCCAAGGTGGCAGAACTGGTGTGGAGATTCCGGCAGGGTCCCCCTCACCCCCACTTTCCTTTCCCGCACAGAGCAAGCTCATCTGCGAACTTGTCTCTCTCCATGGCGTCCAGGCCAGGCCCTCGGTGGTCCCTGCCCACAGGGGCATCTCCCGGGCATATGGCCAAATAAAGGGTAAGACAGGTCCTGCCTTAAAAATGTTCACAGTTCTTCAGTTCAGTTCTGGAAACATCTACTGGGGCTCTTGTGTGCCAGGTCATGTGCTGGGTGTGTGGTGGGAAGGGGGGTCAGCAGGTCCCGGGGAGGAATTAAATCCGATGAAAGCCCGTTGCCTGCCGCACAGCGTCGCTAACAGAGGACCAGCTTTGGGGTCCGGTGAACTTGGATCTTCACGTGGACTCTGCTGCTTCCAAGCTGGTGACTTTGGGCAAGTTTCTTAAGCTCTTTGTGTCTCATGATCTTTATCTTTTAAGTGGGAAGAAGAACACCCACCTTACAAGTTTGCTGGGAAGTTAGACAGGATGATGTGTTTACCCTACTTGGCGTGGTGTCTGGCATTTGGGATTCGTGTCCTGACCAGATCCCTCTGTGTCTCCCCTCACTTGAATCCAGAATCAGGATTCGGACCACGAAGTTCCACACACGTCCACGGCAGCTAACCCTGAGGCTAATGCACCGGCCTGCCCTCCTCACTCAGATATTAATTCCCTTCCATCTTCTCCCCTTTGTGAGCTTGTGAGCCATGCGGAAAGACAGGCACACAGCATCTGTACGAATCGGGGTGAAGTAAATGCTTGAAACCAAATAAGCACAAGCTGGAGGAAACCGGGGTCGGGGGGGGCTTGGCTGGACCAGGAGCAGGGAGCCCAGCGCGGGAGCAGCGCTTGATTTAGCCTGATGAGCTACTGCGTTGGAGGGTGCAGGGAGCGGCCACGTGGTTCAGTTGCGGTGGGGTCCTCCAGCTGGATTTCAGGCCCTGGGCCCAGTGTGGGGTGAGGAGGGTGCAGCTGAGGTCAACACCTTCCTTCGGCACGCACGATCCTCCGGGTGGAGCCAAGGTAGCTCCACAGAGGAAGTGGACGCCAGGCTCTCGAGTGCATTCTGCGGTGGGTGCACAGGACGCCGACCTGCCCCCAGCTTGGGGTGCCTGCTCCCACAGGACAGCGACCCCTCTCCCACCCCTCGTCCCCACAGCTACTGTCACAGGACTTCTTGGGTCAACTTTTGACAAAGAGACTCACCACCTGGCCTGCAAACTGATGCGGCTGGCGCTTCTGCATCCCGCTCTGAATCAGGACGCAGATCCTTCCCTGAGCCAGGCAGCCTTTTCTTTCTAAACCGCCGTGCGGCAACCTGGGTCGGTTTCAGACTTTCTGTTTCCTGGGACGGCGTGTCAGTGTTGCTAATATACTCCAACGGTCACGCTCTTGAGCCCTGGTCTTTCTGCATTTCTCGACCAGGGTGCTGGCTAGTTTTGGTGAGGATGCAAACAAGGTGCAGTCACCAAGTTGTCCCGGCGCCATCAAGAATCTTTAATAACACCAACAGTGAGGCACTTACTTGCATTATCTCATTTAACCCTCACAAAATCCTGGAAGATGGCACTCCCTGCTTCACAGGTGAGGAAAGCCAGGACTCAGAGAGCATAAGTCACCTCCCAAGGTCACACAGCTGGTACCTAGCAAGGGTTTGAACTCGGGCAGTGTGACTGGTGCCCTGGTGCTTATGCTCTTCTCCCAAGTAGCCTGGTACTGAATGACTGTCCCCTGACTACCCTTCAACTTGCTTGGCCAGCCCAGCACTAGCCTTCCTTCTAGAAAGATGTTCCCAGAACCCAGGCGGAGCCTCAGAGCTGGCTTCTGTTCAGCCGTGTCTGAACAAGCAATTATGGGGGATGCTACAAGGTGGTTTCTGCTGCGGTGGGGCTGGGCTAAGTGAGTTCTGATCCTATTGCCTGGATCAGCAAGAGGGTGGCTCAGAGTAACAGCAGAGATTGTCCCCCCAGGCACCTCCCGAGAATTTTCCTTTCTCCCCATTCCACTCAGCATCTGCAACCCTAGCACAGCATCTGTTAATTATTGTATTGTATGTGAATTAGTTAATGTAAATGCTGAAGAAGACACTTTGGCATAAAGGGAAGGGGCTGACTTGTGTTCCTGTTCTACCACCAACTAGCTATGTGGTCTGGAGCAAGCCACCTAATTTCTTTGGGTCTCTGTTTTCTCATCTATAAAATGGGAATAATAATTACTTACCTGAACTCTCTCAGGCCTGTTGTGAGCCTCTGGCTTAGTCTGGCTGCCCCTGAGTCTTCCGATCTGTGTCTCTGCAGGGACAGGTGTTTCCGGAGAGGACCCAGACCCTGTGATGGTAACTGGGACCCTAGGGGGGTCTGTCACTCTGCCCCTGCAGCTACAGGCTGGAAAGCCGGTGGAGAGCATCTCTTGGATATCCCGTTCCGTCTCCATGCCCATAGCCATTGTAACCTTGGCAGAAGCAGGAGGGCCTGACACCTTTTATGAGGCGGAGACCAGGTACCGGGGTCATGTGAGTGTGGTGGGCCCAGGCCACTCCCTGCAGATCAGCAACCTGAGCTGGAAGGATGCGGGGCCTTACCGAGCCCACACGAACCTGAGGAGCTCCCGCATCACCCGCACCCGGGAGTACCAGCTGCAAGTCTATGGTGAGTGTCCTGCGGGTGGGCAGCAATGGGTGTGGGGCGGTGCCCATCTTTCAGGCTTTCTCACAGCCTTTCCCACATCTCGTTTAGTAACACTTACACTTTTTCTGATTACAAGGCTAATATGTGCTCACTATAAAAAAAAACCACAACAAACCATGTAAAGCAGAGTTGCCTGGGAAAGTCTCCTGAACAACGACAAGGCCCAGGACGTGCCCCAGGCCAATGGCAGCAGAACCCCCGGGGGTGTAGTGGGCAGAGAATGGGGACTTCAGCCCCAAGAACTCAGTCGTGCCACTTGAGTGCTCTTGAGCTTCCTCGATGCTAAAATAGGAACACTCCCATCTGGTGAGAATAAACTCCTGAGAAAGAGCGTTGGGACACTCTGGACAGAGGTACAGGAATATTGCTTAAAGATACTTAAAAATTGTTTCAGGAGGGAAAACTGCAAGGGAGACATAGAGGCTGTGGCAGCTACCCCAGCAGCAAGGAGGGCGGGCTGATTCCGCCAGGAGAGATACAATAAGCCGATTGTAGATTCAGACCGCTTATTACTCATATAGAGTGTGAAAGAGTAACCCAGGTCCCTCACACCAGAAAGAATGACAAAAGGGGCCAGTTGACCACAATGCAGGTGCTGGAAAGCCTGTAGCCAGAGAAGCAGTTCTAGACTGCTGGGAGGGGGCAGGGTCTGCAGCTCTGCTCTGAGCAGGGGGAGCAGGAAGCTCCTTCCTCATGAGACACTGACTCACCAGTGCCTCCCAGGGGAGAAAGTGAGGTCAGCGGAGATGGTTTCAGGGTCTCACGGGCCACCATCCTCTGGGGTTCTGGGAGGATCACAGGGCACTTTGCCAAGACTCAGATCAGCTTTGCCTGAGGGACCTGAGGGACCTGGCCGAGGTGCTCCCCCACACTGGGAAGCAAAAAGGTACAGTTATGCATGAGGATGAACACGGGGAAGCGAACTGATGGAGGGAAAGCAGAGAAGCTTTTCAGGCTTGAGTCATGCTATAGGAAATATTCCTATTTGATGAGGCTTTTTTTTTTTTTTTTTTAGTGTGGGGAGATGGACTTGCTTCCTGGGGAGAGAGCGTCTACGCCTTACATCACGCCTGGCCTGACCATGGCCTGTTCGCAGACAGCTAGCTTGAGGGCCCACCGAGGCTTCTGGGACCTCGGTGGGACTGTTCCCTAGGGTGGTCCAGGGCTGCGGGGAGAGCCCCTCTCACTCTGCTCCAGTGGAGCGGCTACAGCGAAGTAACAGGCCAGCCTTTTGTCCTTCTCAGGGAGTTCCCCAAGTCACTGGAGCCTCAGGACAGCCCTGCAGCAGGCAGCAGAGGGGTTTTTCTTGCTGGACTGCCGAAACTAGTCTCAGGGAGAAGTAACACAGAGGTAGAAAGTGGCAGAGCTGGGAATAGAACTCAGGCACCTCGATGCCACATCCTGTGTGTCTGGTTTGTCACTGCATTTACGGGCTTGAGCTAGAGAGGATGCTGAGGGGAAAAGGGCCTGCAGAAGGTGTCATGGGGGAGGGTTTGGGTTCCAGAAGACCACACCGGGGGAGGCAGCAGAAAGTTACCCAGCCTGCCTTCCCCCCGGGGGACATTCTGGGCCGTGGGGTCCTATTTTTGCCCAGTTGAGCTGCCGCTGGGGCTGCCGTCAGGTGGGCCCCAGGGCTGAGGCCGAATAACAGAGGTCTTCTCTCACACCCTGTGGCTTTGTTGAGCCTGTCCTGACTATCCACTCCCTTAGCTTCTCTTCCTGCCACTCCCCAACCCCCTGGCTCTGGCCTGGGGAGACAGGAGGGCAAATAATGGCAACGTGGAAACCTTAAGGAAGCATCTGAGCTCCTGGTCCTGGGGGAAGTGGGGGTGGGGTGCAGGTTGAAGGGGGTACACGGGAGTGGAAGAACCCTCAAAGACCAAGGGCCAAATCTTCTGGGAGCCTTGTCCAGCATCCGGACGCTCGGACATCCGGAAGCTCGATGTGTACGGCAGAGACCCCTCCTGGAGAGAGATGTAATTACAACACAGTTCTGGGCGGGTGCGCATACACGGCCTTCACGTGGTCAGTGCTGGGGTGGGAACCCAGGCTTTGGGGTCAGATCCACTGGATTTGGGTCTTACATGGAATCATCATGTAATAGCCGAGATTCTGGGCAAGTTATTTGAAGCTCTCCGAGCCTGTTAAACAGAGTAGGTGCAAAACCTCTGCCACCTACTTCATAGGGTGGTTCTGGGAATCAAATGATGCTATGCGGCAGGGCCTCGTAAAGCCCGAAGCTCTCGAATAGCTGTGGGCAGATTCTGCCTCTGTTTCTCCTTGTGTGTACTCAGGATGATTCAGGGTCTTGGCACCAATGCCTTGTGCCTTCTGCCCTGTGAAGGGAGGGCCCAGGGCAGTTCTGCAGTCCTCGGTTGGTTCATTTTGTGCCCACAGAGCAGCTGGCCCGGCCCCGTGTCACACTGAGCTCCAGGATCGGTGAGAGTGGACACTGTATCTTCATCCTGACATGTGAGGCCGAAAGCAGAGGAGGCTCTGTGACCTACAGCTGCCTACCTCTGGGACCCCGGACTGTTGTGTCCCGTGGAGGGTCTGTCCTCAGTGTCTCCTCAAGGCTCAGGGACAGGGCTCTGACCTTCACCTGCGTGGTCAAGAACCCAGTCAGTAACAGCAGCTCCCTCCCCCTCTCAGTGCCGTCCTCGTGTCCACGTACCCGGAACCTGAGCACGCACCATGCACTGCGGCTCTGAGGTGGGCAGAGGTGGAGGGCAGGGTCCCCTTCACGCCCCGGGGAGAACACCCTTGAGAGAGTGGCGTGGGTGGCTGGGGGCAGTGCAATCAGGGGAGGGGGGAGGCCCACTGGAGCCAGTGTGGAGGCTGGAGGGGTTTGGGCAGGAGGAGCTCGATGGGGCCTGCGTGGCCCTGAGTGTGTAGGGGAGACCCTGGCGCTGAAGCTGTTGTTTTCTGTCTGTCTGTAGGGCCAGGAATCCTGGGAGGGGACACGGTGGGGGAGACAGTGACCGGTCTCCTCGGGGACTTGGCCATTCTGCCCCTGGAGGTCCCGGCTGGGCAGGAAGTGGAAAAGGTCACCTGGAGCTCTGGAGAGCTTGTTGCCATTATGCAAGTGGGGCCAGGAGGCCAACGGGTCCTGGCTGCCGGACTCAGGCACCATACAGCAGACGGTGGAGTGCGCTCCACCGCGGCTACTCTCTTCAGATCAGGCCCCTGAGGCTGCAGGACTCTGGCCTCTACAGAGCCTGGATCACCCTGCCTGCATAGTCCCCGGATCAACATCACCAAGGATTTCACCCTGCGCGTTTACGGTGAGGGAGGGGGTGGAAGGCTCATGTTTGAACTTTGACCTTTCCTCTCTCCCCTGCTTGGTCAGACCAGAGTCTTCTCAGAGCTCAAACTTTCCTTTCTTGCACAGAGAAGCTGCAGGAGCCCAATATCACTGTCAGCTCCCAGATCACGAAGGATGGGGCCTGTTACATCACCCTGATCTGCTCCCTGCGACAGGCCGGAGAGGATGTTCAGTACAGATGGGCACCCCTTGGCCAGGGGGCAGTTATGTCCCATGGGGGAACCACTCTCCGTGTCTCCTGGAGACTCGGGGTCAGCGACAGCTATCGCTGCACGGCCAGCAACCCGGTCAGCCAGAGCTCCAGCTCCATCCCCACCAGGCCCCTCTGCTCAGGTGACCCCTTCCTTGTGTGGGCCCCCGCCCTGGCAGCCTTGGTCCAGGAGCTCAGCATCCCCATCTGCCGCCCTCCTTGTTCTGGGGTGGTGGAAGAAAAAGAGGGTAGGATCGTCTGCAGCAGGGGGTGTCTCTGGGGGGCAGGAAATGAGGGCTCTGGGGCCATCCTCCCAGGGCGGCGCTGTCCAGCTTCCGACGGTCAGCCCCAGACTTGGTGCCTGGGCGCTCGGCTTACTCTTGGGACTCCCCGAGGGAAAGTGCGTCCCTCAGCCCACTCAGTCCTGCAGAGCCCACTGAGGAGGCATCCCAGACGTCCTTGGCCATGTCCTCAGCGAAGCCTGGAGCTGCCGTGAGACAGAAATCCCAGGCTGTGCCCCTCCAGCGTCACGGGCGGCCTCTCCCGGGTTCCATAGGCCTTGGCAGGACACCGCCTCAGTCCAGACTCACTGTGTCCCTTTCTTCTTCTCTGCCAACTTCTGAACATCTCTCCTCTCCCAACCAACCAAGGTAAGGTTGGTTCCTTACCAACCACTTGCTCTTCGACCCTGTGTGGTTGCTCTGCCCCCAGCAGCCGCATCCTCATTGCTAAGTCCAGGGGCTACTCCTCACTTGAGTTGTCCTCAGCCTGCTCTCCTTGGGGTCCTGGGCTGCTGGGTCCCGGGGCGTCTTCTTTTGTATCACAGTCCTTAGGGGTCCTGCCCAGGCCTTCTGTTGCCCGGGGCAGAAAGCTGGGCGTCATTCAGAGCCCTCGTTTTCCACTGCTACCTGCCCAGGTGCTCACACCTCCCGGTTATCCCACTCTCTCCCCTCCAGATCATCCTGCTGATCACGCTGCTAGGGGGTGAGTTCTGAAAGAAAGAAATGCTCGGGTTACTTTTCTGCTTAAAATCTTGTGGTGTCTGCCCGCTATCAAGCATATAAATATGTGATCCCCTCTTCATTCATTTAAGCAATTCCTGTTTACAGAGCATTTATTATTATTATTGTTATTTTAATTGAAATATACTTAACATATAATATTAGTTCCAGGTGTATAACATAGTGATTCAACATTTATATACATCACGAAATGCTCACCATGATACGTGCAGTCACCATCTGTCTCATGCATAGTTATTACAATATCATTGACTGTATTTCCTATGCTGTACTTTTCATCCCCATGGCTTATTTATTTCATTCCTTAAAAGAGCACTTTATAACCTTACAGAGAGAGCGCATGCCTGTGTGCAAGTGGGGGGTGGGAGGAGCAGAGAGAGACGGAGAGAAAATCTTAAGCAGGCTCCACGATCAGTGTGGAGCCCAGTGTGGGGCTTGATCCCCTGACCCTGAGATCATGACCTGAGCCAAAATCAAGAGTCAGATGCTTAACTGACTGAACCACCCAGGCACCCCTTACAGAGCATTTTTTTTTAAAGATTTTATTTATTTGTCAGAGAGAGAGAGAGAGAGCGCACAGGTGGGGGAAAGGGGGAGAGGAAGAAGCAGACTCCCCATTGAGCAGGGAGCCCGATGTGGGGCTTGATCCTGGGATCATGACCTGAGCTCAAGGCAGACGCTTAACTGACTGAGCCACCCAGGTGCCCCCAGAGCATTTTTAAAAGAAGATTTTATTTGTAAGTCATCTCTATGCCCAACGTGGCACTTGAACCCACAACCCTGAGATCAAGAGTTGCATGTTCCACCAACTGAGGCAGCCAGGTGCCCCCAGAGCATTTTTAAGGTGCCTTGTGTTGTTCTAGGCATTGAGGATAGAGTGAAGAAGAGGTCTGGATAAATTGCCACCCCTCAGGGAGCTCAGTCACGATTGTCACAATCTGCAGCTAAGCCTACTAAATGATTAGAGGGGGTACTGCGCATGTTGTATTAGGGCCTTCATCTGTGTCTGTCTTACCCATGGAACGAGACCAAAGCCCATTTTCGTCTTCTCGGCATCTCCACTACACAGCATGGAATAGGCATGAAAATTGGGAATCTGACAGTTATTCCAGGAACAGCCTGTGCTGGGGGTAACAGGGCACAAGGAAACATGGTAACTGGCTGCGCACACTAATGTTCTCCCTGCCCCTCCATGGGATCCAGAGGGCAGTTCACCTCTACCTCCAGATTCAGTTTCCTTAAGGGGCCTCTAGCCCACTCACTCTTCTGAATTCTCTTCTTGGAAATCCCTTTCCCTGCCTGCCTGTCTTCCCTTTCTTCTCTTCCCCGCCTTTTACCCCAGTTCCTAACCTGTGGTCATTGTTTCATTCAGCCTCCTTCCTACCCTGCTCCTTGAAGAAAGAATTTCTTATTTTTTCGATCCTGGGAGCTTTGCAGATTGAACAGATTGACTTTGACAAGTGGAGAAGCCAAGAGGAGGAATGTGAGAGGGGTCACCTTGTGGGACACAGAGATGAAGAATTCTGTACCTGGGCACCACCTGCCAACATCTCCTGGTGAGAAAGGGACATCAATCCCTATTAAGGCATAAAACCTATTTTGGCGTGAGCCAAGCTACTCATGCTGTTTGACAAAGTCCAAGTATGGGGGACGATCCTGAAAACAGGAGACTCCACAGCTGGCTCCTGCTATTCTCTTTCATTTTGTTTATGGCAATCTTTATAATTGTGGGAATATTTCTGGGGTTTCATGATAAAGTGACTACTCATCTTAGTTACGCCTATCTAAGCAATCATAATGAAACTAATTCCATGAAGAATTAGTTTCTATAGAACAAAATAACAAGACGGTCGCGCTCTGTCTATCACCTTTCTCTTTGCGTACTGTTTTTTAGCTTTAGCGAAAGCCAATAAGCGGAAATCGATAAAGGTCATGTTAATCATTACAAAGGAAAAATGAAAGAAGGCTATGTCTGTGATCCAAAAAATGATCTAAGATCATCTCAATCAATTGTAAAAAAACCATAATCGCATGTTACGAAAGTATGGAGAAACAAAAATATCCTAACATATAAATAAAGTTCCTCTGAGGCTGTCAGGAGGAGATGCTTGCAACCTGATCCTGTGTCTGTGTCTCCTCATTCGCCAATGCCGTCCTTTCCTATGAGAGACCCACCCCGGCTGGAGCTGATCTCCGGCACTATTTCATTTGCAAACAGTTCAAAATCACCAAGAAACTGCTACATACCTTCTGTTTAAAATAACCTGTTTATGTTTTATTTAATAATGTTTTAAAGTGTTCAGAAAGAAAAGAGGGCTTATTCATATAAGAAAAGTTGCACATTTGTGGGGCGCCTGGGTGGCTCAGTTGGTTAAGTGTCTACCTTCAGCTCAGGTCATGATCCCAGAGCCCTGCTCTGCGGGGAGCTTGCTTCTCCCTCTCCCTCTGCCTGCCACTCCCCCTGCTTATGCTCTCTCTCTCCGTTAAATGAATAAAATCTTAAAAAAAAAAAAAAAAGAAAAGTGGCACGTTTGAAACATAAGAAGGTTTGTGAGGTAATTAAGTGTTATGAACATACGTATTCATCTTCTGTTAACATTGAAGTACATGGGATAAGAGGGCCCAGACTGAACTTAAATTTCTTCTCCTTGGAACAGCCTTTTGACCACCTTATTTATGCAAATCTTTCCTCTTATTCATAATCATTTTACCCAAGTCAATTTTGTCAAATTATCACAATTTGTAAATATATATTTATTTGTTGGTTTTTTTTTTTTTTTTTGCTTACCTTCTGTCTCCCCCACAAGATATTTAGCTCCATGGGGACAAGAGCTCTATCTGTTTAGTTTACAACGTAAATTCAGATGGCGATAGAGTGCTTGGCTTATAGTAGATATTTCAATATTTTTTGAATGCATGAATAACTAATGGATGGGAGTTGAGAACATTTTTTCTTAAAGATCCAAGAACTATCAGATTTCATAATAATTTGGGATCTATACCGTTGTGTGTGTGTGTGTGGGGTGGGTGGTTTCTTTCTGCTTTTGATAGAGGAGGAAGGAAATGGAATTCTTATCTTGAAATTTCTGTTGTCAGGCCATCCCTCAGGCAGCCACTTTGGCATTCCGATTATGCTGAGCTCAAAACAGTCAAGGCCCAAAAGACTCAGGGAGGAAGAAGCTTTGACAAGCCCCAGCCCCAAGAATTTAGACAGAGGACCAGCTCCAGGAAGACAAGCATAGATAACTATACTATAATATGAACTAGAGGTGGCAGACAGGGAGGAACTTAGCAAATTCTGTTAAAATTCCTCTCTATGTCCCATTTTTCTGTATGGCCCAGCAAACACTTATTTTTACCATTTACTCTTTTTCATCTTCCTGGGAATTGACTTCCTTCCCTTTGAAGTCCTAGGCCCCTATCCCCTTCTCCTTATTTCAAGATGACATATATACCCCATTTTGCCAGACTGTCTTTGGAATTTCCATGAATGTGGATTTAATTTGTACAAAATTAAATCTGATTTTCTCCTGTTAATCTGTCTTATGTCAATTTGATTCTTAGTCCAGCTAGAAGGATCTTGAAGAGCAGAGGAAATTCTTCTTCCCAACATCTTCTAAGTAGTTTGCTTGCATCTAAGTAGTTTGCTTGACCCTCTGTAATGGGTTTCTCCTGCTGCAGTCACTGAAATTCTAAAAGCACAACTCCTCTGGTCCAGACAACTGACTTTCTTCCTTTCAGGTCTCACCATGTCCAGAGTCTTTGCACAGGCTCTGCCCTCTGATTAAGCTCTCCTTTCCTGTGAGGAGCTCCTACTCACCTGTAGATCTCTGCTCAATCATCACTGTGTGGGAGAAGCCTTCCCTAATACTGGCAACAGCCCCCATTGTAGGTTACCCTTGCACCATGCGTCTTTTTTTTTTTTTTTTTTAAAACAAGTCATCGCTGCTGCCGTGGTATTTGGAGAATAATTTGATTGTTGGCCTCTAAAAAGGAAACTCTTTTCTCTCTCTACTGCACCAACTAAAGGAAGACTTCTCTGTTCTTTTCTACTCAAAGTGAACTTATCTGACACAAAATGTGTGGTTTTCCACCCCCCACACCAACCAATTCTCCAACACCAGCTAGGTGTCCTACAATTCAATGAAAACTTGATCCTATTTACTTAGAGTTAGTGCCAGATCTCACAAGTGAAGGGCTCAGTTCCAAAAGACCGCTCCCACCTCAGAGGCCTATTGTAAGTCTGGGCCTGCCATACTTCTGACCAACCCAGTATAGTCTAAGGACTCCACAACTGTCTCCTGGGGGTCAATAATTTGCTAAAATGCCTCACAGAGCTACGGAAAAACAGTTCACCTACTACATTACTGGTTTATTATAAAAGGAAACATCTCAGGAATAGTCAAATGGAAGAAACGGACAGGGGAAAGTATATAGGAAGGGGTGTGGAACTTCTTTTTTTTTCTTCACATTTTAAACTTTTTATTTCTATATTTAAAAATTGTGCATTCCAGTAATTAAAATCATACAAAGAAAAAAATGGCACTCTGATTAAACTGCATTGTACAGCCTGCCAGATACCTTGGACCAACTTAGTTTTTACTGGTCGTCCCACCCAGCTTCTTCCTTCACCAGCATACAAGTTATTTTCCTTCCCTGCCAGCCAGACAGGCAGATGGAAAGGAGGCTTGGCGTTCCTGGTCAGTAGTTCAGATTCTTTGATGTGAAAAGGGGCAGCACAGTCATTTAAACTTGATCCAACCTCTTTGCATCTTATGAAGTTAAACAGCTAAAAGAAGTAAAAGAAGGAAATGCTTGTGGAATGTACAGAGCATATTGGCGGCGCGCGCCTCATTAGGATTCGCCTGCTTGCTTCTCCTGTTCAATCGTTTCTTTTGAAGGCAGTGGATTTTTCTCTTGTGTTTCTGTCTTCTTCAATTTCGACTTATCGAATTTCTCAATCTCAGCCATATTGGGTTTGCCAGACATGGTTGCAGAGGAAGCGGAGCGAGGTGCGCGTGCAAGTGAAGTCCCCTCTGCTCAGTGGCCGCTGCCGAATCGGGTGTGGAACTTCTGTGCCCTCTCTATGTGTACCACCCTCCTAGCACCTTCATGTGCTCACCAGTCTGGAAGCTCTCTGACCCCTCTGGTTGGGGTCTTTTTATGGAGGTATCATTATGTGGGCATGACTGGTTCATCATTAGACATTGGTGACAGAACTTTATCTCTAGCCTCTCTCCCGCCCTTGGATGTTGGGGGTAAGAGGTAGGGAATTTGGGGAAAATAGGGCTGAAGTTCCAACCCTCTAATCATTTTGTTGGTTCTCCTGGCAACCAGCTCACCTGTCACCTCATTAGCATACAAAAAGATACTTATCTCTTTGAAGATGCCAGGGATTTTAGGAGATGTGTGGAAGGAAAATTGGAGGAAAACCAAATCTATATTTCTTATTATCTCTCAATATCACAGCCTCTGTCATTAGAATTAAACACCCCAAGGACAGAGACTTCTGGTCACTGCTCTGTTTTCTGTGTTCAGCACAGTGTCTGGTACTTAGTGGTGCTCAATAAATCTTGCTGAATGCGTAAGTAATGAATGCGTGCATGGTTGAGTGAATACCTGCCTGACATGGTACAGACACCTTCTTTTCTCCCTCACCAAGGATTCTGTATTTATGAGCTGTATTAGCAGCTCATAAACCCCAAACCACACAGCTTTGGGTGCTGCATTTGATGGATTTTGACGTGAAATGTGGTTTCCTGCCCTAACAAGCTAGTGGTTTCCTTTACCTGCTGGTTGAGCTCATGAGGTGAAGCCTTTTTCTGCACATGGATTTGGGAAAGTTCTTCCTGAGAGTCCAGACTCCAGATCTTTTGGGGTACTCCTGGGCTTGATTTTGTCACTGGTTTAAAGAGGGAAGGGGAGCTAATTCTAATTATTTCACCATTTGGACTGGCTTAAAGGAGAGGGGGTGGGGCACAGATTCATTCTAAACCCTGGCAGTCGTTAGTATCCCCTCCCAATCTTTGTCTGCTCTGAAGCTCCCCCAACCTCAAACCACCCACTCTGAGGCAGACTAATCTTTTCCTCTGATCATCACATTCTAGGGGCTTCTCTCTTCTTCTCACCTCATTCTCACTTGGAAGAGGCACTTTCCGTCCTCCCCCACTGCACACCTCCCACCCCCAAGATGGGGGGTCTCAGAATTTTCCCTGAACTCCTCACAGTGGGTCACACCTCTTTATACTCACCGAACACTTATTTAAAATTTCTTCCACTCCATTGTGTAATACATCCTTTCTCACTAAAGAACTTTTGGAAAATTAAGACAAGCAGAAGAAAACCAAGCCACTTAAGATATCACCTGCCCCACAAAAACCAGCATTAATATTTTGATATTTTTTCTTCTAAGTTTTTCCTTGCATTGGTGTTTTTAAAACGTAGTTGTAATCATACAGCACATTAGATTTCACTTTCTACTTTGCTTCACTTGTGATATTGTAGAGGAGGGAAAATAATCTTCCCTATACCTTTCTAGATTCTGTGGCTGAGACCCTCCACCTCCTGTAACAAAAGATGAACAAGAGAAAAAAAAAAAAAAACCCAGAAGTTTAATAACATGTATACCTCCTGTATACATGGGAGATACCCTGAAAACTGAGTAAAACTCCCCCAAATGGCCCAAGCCACCGTCTTAAATACCATCTTCAGCTAAAGGCAAAAGAAAGATGTTTTGAGGGGGAAGCTTTTTATGGGAAGTTATCAGGAAAAGTACAGCAAAGGTGTAGTTGTCATGTAGATTTAAGTTGGTGCCTCCTCCACTGATGAGATTCTTTTGTAATTCAGAGTCATCCTTCTCTGCCTGGTATAGGAGGGAGACACCTGTACATATGGAGATTTCCTTTGTAAATGTAATTGTCCCTTAAGAAAGGGACAAAGGATCTTCTTCTGCATCTGTTGTTTCTTTAAAATAATCAACTGAACAATCTTTATGCTTAAGAGGCATATTTTGGGGTGGCACAGTCAACTACCCTTCAAAGTCATTACATTTTCTAGCTTTATAACCCATAATTTCTCATGTCTGTGTTCACTTCACCTTTCCCTGTGGT